GCCGATACCCAATCTGCTAGTGGTTCCGCTGGTGCCGCCATTTTATCTAGGCCCACGCGGTCCTTGGCACTTCGGCCTGCCTGCATTACGTCTTTCCCTTGGTCCCACGCGGTTCCCGGTACTTCGCCCTGCCGGCACCACGCCGTCCCTTGGTCCCGCGTGGTCCCCGACGCTTTGTCCTGCTGGTACCGCCCCGTCCTTCGATCCCATGTGGTCCCCGACACTCCTGCCCCGCCTGTACCACGTCTTTCTCTGGTGCCCCTGACGTCTTTCTGCCTTAGAGCGACCTCCGCTCCCCGCTCCTATTGCGTCCCGCATGCTATTCCGTTCCGGGTGCCGGCTCCCACCTACCCTGCGGTCTCCTTGGCCCTCCTGCAGCTGCGTTGCGTCAGCGCCTTGCGCCCTGTCCGTTCCCACTTCCTTCCTTCCCTTGTTGCGCACCTCCTATGCTACTACCGACTTCCCGGCGGCCCTTTTGTGTCCTTGGGGAAGGAGTCGCCCCTGCTGTTCTCTCACAGTCCTTTTGCCGCTTTCTGCTTAGCCAACCCATTTCTAGTCTGGCGGCCCCGACGACTCTGGGCAGCCTTTGGCTTCCTACTGTCCGTGCCCATGTTCCCGCTCTTTCCAGCATACCTGCCTCCGGTTTTCTCTGTCGTGCACAAATTGGTCATATACAATATCTCGAGTGACGGGAAGTCATTCGGGACCCACCAGTCCCGACAACGACAGATTGTATGTATGGTGATGAGAGCATGCTGATGGGGCATTTGGCTGAGGTGGCACTGCATTGTATTGTGGGTGGTACCGAGGCTAATGATTGGTCATCAAATGCACATTCAGCTCAATTGGTGAGAAATCTGTGGTTGGGGGCAGCTATCTTCAGGTACGTTGTTTCCTTACCTTATCTACTCTCTCAATCTCTTCTTACCGTGAGGAGGAGAGTTCAATCTTGAGAGTCCTCTCTTTTGGTGAGGTGTCGAATGCGCGCTACCTTGAGATACGACAATCTTCCCGGAAGCATCTGGAAGGAGAAAGGGCGGTGCCTCTAAAGGGCCCTGGTCGAAACATTGGGTCACGGTCACCATGCCAACCCAATGGGAGCAGGTCACGCATGCGATGGCTGCTTGTCCATTTTGGCACTTTGCTGCGTTGTAGGAGTTGTGCCGGGTGTGTCAGCCCATAAGAGACGCTTACCAGACCGTCTATAAATACTTCTAGTTGGGGACTCGGTGTTGATACTGCCTGTGATCGTCGTCCTGTCTGCGACGTTAAATAATTCCTGAGGAGATGGGGGCTCTTCTTAAATCCCTCCTGATCATCCAGATCACACCGGGTAGTACGACACGTTCCGTACGAGGGTAAATAAGAGTGGATGGGCTGGCTTGCTCGACAATGACTTGGGGCACAGGGTTGGGCCGACATTACACACGAAGACACCGCTGCTCAATGACGCTCTCCGGTATGTTGAATGGAGGGGAGGGTAGGTTTCAATTGGTGCTCAACTATTGAAACAACTATTTCCACTATGCATACATCTATTACATAATTTATTTCTATTTTGATTAGTTGGTTGACAGCTGCTAACACCTCATAGACAGATTAGAGTAGGACTGTTGTATACTACCATAGCCAGTTCGTTTGTAGGAATTTGGACTTACCTGTTGGACCCAACTGTGTATCGTTTGATAATGCCACCTATTAATCATTTTTATTATTTTAAATCGGTCTGACACTACGCTGAGGTAGGCAACAGAGTGTGTCCTAGTGGAGATTGTGTATAGTGTTGTAGCATATGAGCAGCGGAGGGTACACTGATCCGGACGGTCGAGTCTTGTGTTCGTCAAGCCGAAGACTCCCGTTGGTTCACGCTGCCTTAGGAGCCGAGGGAGATCGTTCCCTGTTCCGTGAAGCTAGGGCAAGGCAGCATCAACAGAGGGTGGAGAGGGACGTAGAAGCAAGCAGGGCCTTCGCTAGAGAAGCTGCTGCCCCAGCCGCCGCAATGGCCACTTCTGCACAACAGGGCTCTCAAGTGAGTAGTTTAGGGACATAACAGAGTTCCCCGGCCAGTGGTTTCGGGGACCATTGGGGCCATGAGCATGCAGACCCAGAGTCGGTCTTCCAATGTAATGGTTAGCCAACAATTAGTGCTAACATCGGAGGAGGTTGCCATTCAGTGAGCAAGCACTCGCGAAGCACAGCTACAGCAGGCGTTGGATGAGATACAGGCAGAGAAGGAGAGGATGATTAGACGAAGAGCTAGGATGCAGTGGAGAGAAGCGGACATGGAGGAGTTGGATCTGACACACATGGATGATGATATGAAGACCGTTAGGAGGGCCCTACTAGATGTGGTAGAGATGCAGGACTACCATACGGATTTTTTACAGGACATTTAGAGAAGTATGGCGGTGCTGGTGTCCCACCGGTAACCGGGGTAGTCCCATCTACACTTTGTTTGGTGTCGGTACAGGCCGCTGCCCACCTTGGTATGTCGTTGACAGTCGGGTTCTCAGCAGGACCGACTGTACAGATTCTATACAGACAGTGTTTACCCAACCTTCGTTGCAGACTGCCGTAACACAGTCAGCGCAGTTGTATGGCACACAGCCCCAGCAGCAGCAAGTGCAGCAGCCTGCACCCCAGGCCCCACAGCCTGGAGTTGCGCAGGTCCCGGTGTCAGAGCAAATACCCTGACAAGGGTATTTGCCGGGGGTTTTCAACATCGGACGCTGTCCGACTTTTTCGCTTAATTGAAAGACTTGATGAAACTGATGTTTGCCAAAAGTTTATTCAGACCAACCCTATAACTGAGATACCTAAAACCTGACGTCATTGACATATTACGTCATTAGCGTTCGATCGAAACAACGGGAGTCAACGATACGACTTGTCGTCCGCGGTTCCCGATAAGACCGCAATGGTGCACGGTCATGGGAAGACTAAAGTTAGACCTATTCTACCAGCCGCGCGATTCAGAGCTTACGAGGCTACTAGGGACCGCCGTACGGGGATTAAAACCACGACGGTGGCTGAGAGACCTAGCAGCGTGCTCTGTTATGGGCAGGAGACTGCTGCGGTTGATACTCGCGGTCAACCGATGAGGCATGGCCTGCTAGGCCGCAGGCAGGCTGAGGCAGCAAGGCCACAAGCCGGGGAGATGCCAAGGCTAGCTCTTCATATTGAAGAGCTGCTCCTGTTCAGTGTGGAACAGGAGCTAGCCCAGTACGTTAACGCAGCCGACTCTTACCCAGCACGTATCAGGATCGAATCTGCAAAGTGTCCTACAAGGGCTAGCTCCTTTTTTAAGAGTAGCCCAGCCGTCCGGCCAGCCGTTTTCGGTCGATCGCTTAGATCGCGCGGCTGGAAACATCTGCACGCCGATCGACTTGGCCCCTGCGCAATGAATGACACTCAAAAAATAAAAAAAATAAAAAAATAAAAATAAAAATTAATGGTAGGCGCCATGTGGCGCATTCAGAAGAAATGGGGACTTAGTCCCCATGAATGGTTGCAGGCGCCCGTGATAACGGGCAGCCAACTTTTAGAAAAGTTTTGTTTTTGTTTTTTGATATTTTTAGATTTTTTTTTTAGATTTTCTTTAAAAAAAAAAAAAAAAGGGATCTTAGCTCAGCGCCCGTTCGTCTTTTAAACGGGCAGTTGGGTGTTGTAGCGCCCGAACCCAGCGCTCATAGGCGCCTGGGTAGAGGCGCAGAGAAAAAAAAAAAAAAAAGTAAGAACTAAGATATGACACCCGCCAGCTGGCGGGCAAAGAAGAGGACAGACGAAACAAGTCCTCTGCTAGTACCCGTACGTGAGGTAAGTTTTGATTTTTTTGGTTATTTATCTTTTCCTAGATTTTTTTTCAGATTTTCGTTTTAGTTTTTATTTTATATTCTTTTCGTTTGGATTCCCCCCCCCCTTTTCTCGTTTTTTGCTGTGTAGACGAACGGGCCTTTTTTGAATGACAGGACGAGCAAAATCGACTGAATCTACCCTAAAACGAGGAAAGATACACTAACTACTAGTGTGTGTGTGTGTGTGTGTGTGTGTGTGTGAGAGAGAGAGAGAGAGAGAGGGGAGAGAGAGAGAGAGAGAGAGAGAGAGAGAGAGAGAGAGAGAGAGAGAGAGAGAGAGAGCAGGGGTCCTACACCACGCCAACCTTCATCTGTAGATGAGCAAAATCGGATGAATCAACCTCTAGAACATGGATATATACACTCCCACACTATCTCCCCCCCATCTCGTTCAGGAAACGACATAGGCGCCGTCGCTGGAGCAACAGGCGCCAACTCAGAGGCTGAAGGGAAAAGCAAACGAGGCATTCGTGGCTCACTATTGAGGAACAGCCATATGGGCTGTGTGGGAGCACACCAGGCTCCTACCCCGTTTCAGGTTTGAATATTTTCGACCCTGGGATCTTTGATCCCATGACCGGTCTTGCCGCGCGTGAGGGAGAAGGAGTTGAGGGAGTTAGAGAGAGAGGAAGGAGGTTGGAGAAATGGGAGACTGGGAGAGGGAGGACCTACCTCTCCCAACCTGACAACTGTCCTCCTCGTTTTCAGGAGAGGGCAGAGGTGGAAGGGAAAAAGAAAAAGGCCACGGCCACAAATGTGGTCGCAGCTATGATCAGATACAGGCCAAACTGGCCTGAATGTGACTCAGGCCAGAGGCAGGGGAGATGAATTGGTGGTGAGGGGAACTTGGCTGGAAATAGCCAGTGTGGGAGTGCAGGGAAAAGGGAGAAAAAAGAGGGGGGCAGTTGCATACAACTGCCACCCTAAGTGTGTGGCTGAGGTGAGACAGCTTCAGTCCGTTGATCTGGCCCAGATCAACGGCCCCAGGCAAGTGACGAATTTTGGCTAGGGGCAGCTGAGGCTGCTGCTGCCCTCCTCAACCACTAAAAAAAAGGCAACTGTCCCCCAGCTGCCTCACACTTGCCTCCAGCTGCCAGTGTGTGACAGCACACTTGCCTCATTGCTGGAGTGCTGGAGAGGAAACAGGAGTGCTGTCGGCGGAGCTGGAGGACTGCAAAGGAGCGTTGGACAAGGAGGAGGGCAGCCATAGCCAAGGCAGGGAGCACTCTGCTCCCCTCCCCTCTGGCTGGTGCTGGTCCCACGGGACGGACCCAGGGAAGCTGCAGGGCTACGGCAGTGCGGCAAAGTGGAATTTGGGCTTGGGGCCCAAATTTTACTAGTTTTGGCCTGCCGTTTTGCCACTACGGTGGGGAAGTGTTGCCAAAATTTTACTGCGGCGGCACCGAGTTTTACGACGGTGATACGGAAGTGCTGTCGAATTTCTGCGGCGGCGGCAGTGAGTTTTACGGCGGTGATACGAAAGTGTTGTCGAATTTCTGCGGCGGCGGCACTGAGTTTTACTACAGTGATACGAAAGTGCTGTTGAATTTCTGCGGCGGCGACACTGAGTTTACGACGTTGATACGAAAGTGCTGTCGAATTTATGCGGTGACGACACCGAGTTTGACGACGGTGGTGCGGAAGCGCTGTCAAATTTCTGCGGCAGCGGCACTAAGTTGACGGCGGTGGTGCGAAAGCGCTGTCGAATTTCTGCGGCAGCGACACTAAGTTGACGACAGTGGTGCGGAAGCGTTGTCAAATTTCTGCGGCAGTGGCACTAAGTTGACGGCGGTGGTGTGAGAGCATTGTCGAATTCTTTTACAACAACGGCATAGGATGTACGACAGTGTCAGTGGTATTTTTGCGTTGAGCAGCAACTGGGCATTGGCGCAGTGAAGGCGCCACTAGAGTGGTATATTTTGACTCTTTTGAGGTAACGTGGACTTGACGGTGCAGTAACGCGGTAACGGCGGAAGCGATTGGCAGCGACTCTTACTGAAAAATAAGTGAGGGGGTGTTGTGGTAGGTGGTCGCAGCAAGGGAGTGGTGTCGATCACTTTGCTGACCACTGGGGACGACTACCTTCTTGTCAAAAGGGGCGTAATTCTATACGGCCTTCTTGAGTGTGCCGTACAACTTTACTCAAGGTCAGTGGTCAGTCAGTGGACGACTCAAACTTCCTTCACACTTGTGTGCACCCACACATTGCTTGACCCTTTTGCTTTGAACGTTCAGGAGAAAAGGTTGAGTGAGATTGTGGGCGTCATGCATGAGTAAAAAGGTCGGTCTGACGTGAGTAGTGGGACTTTGTTTGTCTTCTTTTGATTGTGTTGTCTGTGTGTTGTACAGGTAGGTAGAAGGGTGCTTGCAAATGAGATTGATCATGGCTATTTGAGGAAAGGAAAAATGATTATCTTCTTTACTTCTCACCTGCCAGCACATCAAGAAGGTTTCCTTGTTTTGAAAAAATGTTAATTATGCAATGTCAGCACTGTAAAAACGAATTCGATTGCATAAAGAAAGCAGATAAGGTCAAACGGACTTGGTCCTTTTCCCCAAGATTGACCCATTTTATCCCGAACGACCTTATCCACCTATACATGTCCAAATGTTTCTCGTTTTATCACCCCTATCTCTTTTTCGTCTGAGGTACCCTGAACTTACGAAAAAAAAAAACAAGAACAGTTAAAACCTGCTTACGGTGAACACATTCTCCTTTCTTCAGGAAGCATCTGGGGCGGGGGTTCGTTGCTTTAGGAGCCGGCCCTGTTATCGACCCAGAGTGGACAGTTCAACGGGGGGKTACTTTGCCGATTCGGTGGAGACGGCCCGACTTCTGAGATCCGAGTCTTGTGCTCGGGCGAGGAGGAGTACCCCAGACCACTTCCTAGAGGGAGAGGCATGCAACACCTCAAGCAATGCCCCTGATCAAGAATCATCCGCAAAACAGCCGGCATCCAAGAAAATTGAGAAACGAATGGAGACGGGTGTGTGCGTGTTCAATCTTAGGTCGGCGGTAGGATGGAATGAATGACTTTGGCAACGTGTCTCATCAAGTCAAGGCAAAGGCAGTCGACTACCTTGTCGGCCGCATCTATATTATTGTCGATAGCCAACTTCTTGTTGGCGGTTGTATGATTGTTTTGTGGAGTTCGATCTGAGGCGGTCGGATTTTTTTTTTTTTTTTTTTTTTTTTTTATTTTTGGTTTTTGGTTTTTTCAAATGGAATTTTTTTTTTTTTTTTTTTTTTTTTTTTTTTTTTTTTTTTTTTTTTTTTTTTTTTTTTTTTTTTTTTTTTGGGGGGGGTTTTTTTTGTGTTGGTTGTTGTGTGGTGTTTGGTGTGTGTGTGTTTTTTTTTTTTTTTGGGTTTTTTTTGGGGGGGGGGGTTTTTTTTTTTTTTTTTTTTTTTTTTTAATCTTGCGATATTGGATGTATCAAATGAAGATTTTGTTTTTTTTTATTATTATTTTAGATTGGACATATCATTCTATCGACTACAGTCGATTCCTTTTGATGAGCCGGTCGGATAATTTTTTTTTTATCTAGTGTTGTTGAATGCATCAAATGATGATTTGGATTCTCCCAGTTATTAATTTGGATTGGATGTACATTCTTATCGGTTGCGGTCAACTTTTTTTGTTGTAATTATGTATAGTTGTTATAAATTTTGTGTAACAGTGTGTCAAAGGGACTAGGATATTGGGGGTTTCACACTTGGTTGAGACCATCCTAGTCGACCGGTGTACGCTTCGTTTCTTAGGAGATCAGCACCCAACGAACGACGTCCGGGTTCAATTGGCATTTTAATCGCGCGTACCTATACTACAGCGAGCGAGCAAACGCCCTCGGCCGACCCACCTCTGCAATTGCATGTAAAAGCTTTCGCACGTGGGTCGGTAGCTCGGTAGGGATATGCCCCTAAGGGTGGTGACAGCCCCTTAGGGAAGCAAGCTTATGCCCCGCGAGAACCTGTCCTGTCGTAGGGGACCGCGGAATGTACAGCTGGCGCACCCGGCTAGAGCGGCGAAGGGACGACGCAACCGCGACCGTCTCGGAGGTCCGTGGGATTAATTATGCATCATCCCCAAGTTGTCTTTAAGGTTTCTATTTAAACTCCTGCGTGACGTAGCCGGGAGGGCTCCCTCCTCTTTCGAAAGAAAAGGTGGGAGCCGATGCGCTCAACACCGGGACAAGGTCAGTGGGTTCCAAAGACTGCCATCACACCACCCAAGCCCTTCTTAGGTGATAAGAAGGGTGAGGACCTCAACACATGGTTGAGGACGGTGCCGGTCTGCGTGAAGTGCAAGTTTACCTTGCCTTACGAGGAAGTGCTCGTGGCTGCCTCCTATCTTGAGGGGAGTGCAGCAATATGGTTGAGTGGGTATGTGCAGTTGCAGGAATACGGTCATGACTTCCGCGCTTGGGCGGTCACCCAAAGATTGGATGACTTCATCAAGTTGGTGGAGGAAAAGTGGCATAATCCGCAGGAGGCCCAAAAGGTCACCGGCGGGTTGCTGAACCTGAGCTCAAGGAAGTTCAGGTCAGTAAGGGATGCCATAGACACGATAGAGCATCTAATATGTGTTCCTGGCGTGCGCTATGACCCCAGGTCTTACTTACCACTTTCCCGAGGTGCCTCCCTACGGAGATCAGGAATCGCATGGTGAGTGAGGCGATGATCACAGTTCACAACTTTCCCTCGTTTAGCAAGAAGGCCCTAGATCTGGAAGCAAAGATCGGACATGGACAGCAACCCACTGCGGATGGTAGGAAGAAAACGATGCCTCCTAACTGGAGGCCAAGGGGCACATCATGTTCGTCGACAACGATGGTACCACCATAGAGTTGGACGATGACTTTCAGTTGGGAGTACAGTCAGCGTCACGTAGCGCAGAGGCTTCAGGGGGTGGAGCAGTCGCTTCCTCAATTCAAAAAGGTAAGTCGGTTGGGAGTAGAGTCAGCGTCACATAGCGCAGAGGCTTCAGGGGGTGGAGCAGTCGCTGCCTCAGTTCAAAAAGGTAAGTCGACCGGTAGACACCGGGGAGGTTCCCGGTCAAAGAGTCAAGTAGACCCCAATGCTCCTCCATCGGAGAAAGCGGGGCTTACTGAGGACATGTGGAGAGAAAGGTATGCCCGTTCCGGTCAAAGAGTCAAGTAGACCCAAATGCTCCCCATGGGAGAAAACGGGCTTACTGAGGACATGTGGAGAGATCGGTATGCCCGTGCAACTTGTATTCGCTATGGCCAGTATGGCCATACACAGTTCAAGTGCCGCAACCGGAAAGTTACGGAAAAGATCCCGCCTACGATGGGACAGACGCAAACCTCCTTCGCTTCCCAGGGAAGCAACGTTGCCAGCACTTTGGGCACTGCTTCGGGAAACACGTCAGGCCAATAGGAATTATTGTCATTTCTACTAGGGTCGAGATGGTGGATACACCCTCACCTTCTCGAGAGATG